AAAAAAAAAGAGCCTGGCCTACTGTGTCCCGGGCATGACGGGGGTCTGAGGGGGGCTGTGGGATGTCCTGCAGGCCATCCAGCCAGCCTGGGGCGTCAGGGAACGCTTCCCAGCTCAAGTGTCATCTTGAGATGGAAATATATTCAGAGCCAGAGCAATAGGTAAGGAAAGACTATCGCAGGCAGAGGTGACAATGTGTGCAGGGTCCCAAAAGCAGAGGGTGCTGGTGTTTTCATGAAACTGAAACAAGACCCGGATGACCCTCAAGTGTAGAGAATAAAAAGACGTGATGAGCGTTGGGTTGGACACTAAATCAGTGAATGGTGTGGCATGTGAATTATACCTGAATAAAGCTGCTTAAAAAGATGTGATGAGATGAGGCAGCAGCACAGCCAGATGGCAGTGAGCTTTTAAGTCATCCCTCGGAGGCAAACTTGATGCTGGAGTGGCAGCAGAGAGCCTTTGGGAGAGGCTGATATGAAGGGATTGCTGCTGGCAGGAGAGGAATGGAGGGTAAAGTGGGCCTAGGGTGTTAGGGGGAGAGTGACATGGCAGCCAGGTCAGAGGAGTGTGGGCGTGGAGTTGAGGCCAGTTGCACGATTAACTCCTGCTTTCTTGCACCAACTCAGTGCTTTGCATAAAACACTCCCCTCTCTGGGCCTCCTCTCCCGGTCTGTGAAAATGAGATAATACAGTGCTGCCACTTTGGAAAACAGTCTGGCGCTTCCTCCAAAAGTTAAACGGGCCAGCCCGGTGGTGTAGTGTTTAAGTTCGTGGCGCTCAGCTTCAGTGGCCCGGGTTCGCGGGTTTGGCTCCCAGGCATGGACCTACACCACTTGTCAGCCATGCTGTGGCAGTGACCCACATACAAAATAGAGGAAGACTGGTGCAGATGTTAGCTCAAGGCTAATCTTCCTCAAGCAAAAAAGAGGAGGATTGGCGACAGATGTTAGCTCCGGGTGAATCTTCCTCAGGAAAAAAAAAAAAGTTTCCGTATGATCCAGCAGTTCCACTCCTAGATGGATATATACCCAAGAGAAATGAAATCATTTGTCCACACAAAAACTTGTACACGAATGTTCATAGCAGCATTATTCCTAATAGCCACAAAGTAGAAGCAACCCAAATGGCCACCACTGATGAATGGATAAGTAAAATAGGCTACATCCATACAATGGAGTATTATTCAGCAATAAGAAAGAATGAGGTGCTGATATAACCTGGGACACAGATGAACCTTGAAGTATACTAAATGAAAGAAGCTAATCATGAAAGACTGCATGTACCATCCTATTTTTTATGAAAAGTCCAGAATAGGCAAATCCGTAGAGACAGAAGGTAGATTAGTGGTTGCCGGGGGTTGAGGGGAGGAAAATGGGGAGTGATTGCTAATGGGTACAAGTTTCTTTTTGGGGTAATGAAAATGTTCTAAAATTGAATGTGGTGATAGTTGCACAACTTTGTGAATATACTAAAAACTACTGAATACTACACCTTAAACAGGTGAATTTTGTGTATGTGAATTATATCATTAAAGCTGTTAAGGAGGGGAGGGAACAATAGGCCCTTGGAAGCTGACATTGAGATCTCTCATGATCATGGCTATGAGAGGCTTTTGTAGGCTATCCAGACTGCAGATGGGGGGGCATCGAGGAGACCCCTGCAACTACTGGGTGCAGAGGGCTCTCGGGTCAGCCAGTGTGTTCCTGAGCCTGTCCTGTGCTTTAACCCCCAGTGCTGCCAACCCTCCTGCTGACCCTGCTCTCACTTTGGTCCCACCTCCCTTCCAGGTGTCCTGGCTCTGCCTCACTGGAGACAGCCTGGAAAGATCAGTGGGGTTCAGAAACCTGGCTTCTGGGGCCGGCCCCGTGGCGTAGAGGTTAAGTGCACGAGCTCCGCTGCTGGTGGCCCAGGTTCAGATCCTGGGCGCACACCGACGCACCACTTGTCAGGCCATGCTGTGGCCACGTCCCACATAAAGCGGAGGAAGATCGGCGCAGATATTAGCTCACAGCCAGTCTTCCTCAGCAAAAAGAGGAGGATTGGCATAGATGTTAGCTCAGGGCTGATCTTCCTCACAAAAAAAAAAGAAAGAAAGAAAGAAACCTGGGTTCTGTGTCTGTGCCCCTCCAAGGTGGGCTAGTACCCAATAAATGAAACATTTTATTCCTGCAATCAGCTCACACAATGCACAGCCAGCCCTATGCAACCTTTTCCTTTCTCCTATTTCTTTGTGAATTTCTTTTTCATTTTTAATTTTTTATTATGGAAAATTTCAAATATATGCGAGAGTGGAGAGAATAGTATAATCATGTAGCTATCACCCTGCTTTAATAATTATCAATATTTTGCCAATCTTTCATGTATCTTCCAAACTCACTTTTTTCCTGGAATGTTTTAAAAGTAAATCCCAGGGCCGGCTCCGTGGCTTAGCGGTTAAGTGCGCGTGCTCCACTGCTGGCGGCCTGGGTTCGGATCCCGGGCGCGCACCGACGCACCGCTTCTCCAGCCATGCTGAGGCCGCGTCCCATACACAGCAACTAGAAGGATGTGCAGCTATGACATACAACTATCTACTGGGGCTTTGGGGGAAAAAATAAATAAATAAATAAAATTATTAAAAAATAATAATAATAAAATAAAAGTAAATCCCAGATACAATATCATTTCACACATAAATATTTTAATAAGTACCTCTAACAGATAAGGAATTTTTTAAACATAACTCACAATGCCAATATCTCACCTAATTAGACATTCTTTTTTTTTTTCTTTCTGGTGAGGAAAATCAGCCCTGAGATAACATCTGTTGCCAATCTTCCTCTTGTTTTTTTTTTTTGCTTGAGGAAGATTGTCCCTGAGCTAACATCTGTGCCCATCTTCCTCTGTTTTGTATATGGGACACCGCCACAGCATGCCTTGATGAGCAGTGTGTAGGTCTGCACCTGGAATCCAAACCTGTGAACCCGGGGTCGCTGAAGCAGAGCGCGAGAACTTAACTGCTACACCACCAGGCTGGCCCCTAGACATTCTTTAGTATGTTCTGAGGCCCAATCCACGTTCAAATTTCCCCAATTATCTTAAAATGTACGGTTGGTTTGTTTGAATGAGGATCTCAATGAGGCCCCCACATGGCATTTGATTGCTGTGTCTCTTAAGTCTCTTTTATAACAGTTTCTCCTCCCCTGCCTTTTTTTAAAGCCATTTCTTTGTTGGAGAAACCACGTGTTTGTTCTGTAGAATTCCATGAGTCTTTTTTGAAGTGTTGTTATCTGGATGGGAAATCAAATCTTCAGATTGTTTTTCACTTCAAGGAAAGATTAAGGAGAATAAATTAGTGATAGACGCATAGAGAAGTAAGCAAATAAAAAACCAAGCAATACTTACCCCAGGTAAAGCAGAGCGTCTAGCAATGGCATTATAATCACAGTACACTTCTTGAATCAGCTTGAACAATTGTTGACGATTCTAATATTGTAATTACAGAATAATGATATAAACAAAAGCAGGACAAGAAATGTGGAACGTGATGTGAGTTAAATCTTCATATTCCTTAGTAGTAGTCAATAGGTAAAATCTAAAACTGAAAACATAATCAACATTAGCAGTGTAAGTCTGATGCTTAAAAAACAGATATAAAAACTGAAGAAATAGCCAGAAATGCCAGGAAGAGTGGAGAGGCATTGGCAGTAAGAGGGGATGGAATGGGGAACGGCTGATTTTAAAGTCTGTAAAGATATGTCTTCTTAAAGAGATGAGGTTCAGCCAGCTGGTGTCTGGGGAGGCGACACTCGGAGAAAGAATGAGTTAAGACTCCAGGACCCCTGAGGCCTAACGTGGCTAGTGTGGGGAAAGAGTGGGACTCGCCGTGCCCTCGGAGGCCAGGACGTCTGGCACAGCACAGAGAGGGTGCGCCAGGCTGCACGGTCTCCCACCTGTTTCACCCTTTGTCTCTTCATTCGTGCCTGCTGGAGGGACCAGCCAGAAGGAAAATGCCAGCCAGCTGTCCGGGGCCTTGTCTAAGGAGGAGACTTCGTCATCACCAGCCACATCACCTTTGCCTTTTCCTTCTCTCTCCCTTTCCTTGGGAGTTTCCAAGGTACTTTAGGGTGGGAGCTCCCAACCCTGTTGGTTTGAAGTCCCTTCAATAGAGATCCAAATTGGAGGCCTATTTTCTTAGACTCAAACTCCTAACACAGCAGGGGCCACCTGGCAGGCCTGGGGTTTTCATCTCCCCTTCTCTCTCTGAGGTTCTTCCAGAGGGGCAGGATGGTGTCATCACTATTAAGAGCGCTGGCTCTAAAGTCAGACTTATAGCTTGGCCTTTTATTTGCTGTGTGACTTTGAACAAATTACTTAACCTCTCTGAGCTTCAGCTTGCCAGCTGTAAAATGGAGAGCATAATAATATGTAGGGTTGTTGTGAGGACTTAAAAGGAAATAATGCCTGTACGGTAGCATAGCTCCTGGCAGTCTGAGTGCTTGGTAAACGGAGCTATTGACCATCCCCATATACTTGGAATCATCCCCTTCCCTGCTGTCCCAGAGTCTCCAGGATAATACTGGGAGCCCCTTTTGGAGCCAGGGTACCCCCCACCTATGCCTGGCACCCCCTGTTCCCAGCTTACATTCCCCTCCACCCCAGCCAGTCTCCTCTTTCCACAGGATCAGCTGTCATCTTGGCCTCTGGCCAAAGGGACCATGCTCTCTCTTGCCTTTGTCTGGAATCTCCAAACCCCGACCAGTGGTTTGGAAACACAGTGGAACTGGGGCTCCTGGCTCTGAAGAGGGCAGCCAGGGAGCAGCCAGATGCTGTGGGGACCTGGGGGGTTGGGCGCTGTCAGGCCAGTGAGCCTTTGCGGGGGCGCGAATGGGGTGGTCCTAGCACACACATCTGCCC